TGAGGCCGTTGTTCGTTGCAGATCTCAGAATAACGAACTCAAGGTGCACGTCGGCTTTCTTGCCATGATGCGAGAGGGTAATATTCATGTTCCCCCGGAAATTGAACAAGCTGTGCGGCAGCAGAACAACATGGGCAGAACCACAGTTGTCGGAGCCGTGAATGGCGTCGCGCGGCTTTTGGTTGCTCTCGCGGATGAACCCAAGGAAGAGGCTGCTGGAGTCGTGCGCTTCTTGCACCGACAGGGATTCCGGGTGCTCATGGTCACAGGGGACAACGAGGGTGTTGCGGCACGTGTGGCAAGTGCGGTTGGCATCCAACATGAAAACCTTCACGCAGAAGCTCTTCCCACAACTAAGGCCAGCATCGTCCGACAACTTCAATCCGAGGGCGATTGTGTCATTTTTGTTGGTGACGGAATCAATGATAGTCCGGCGCTGGCGCAGGCAGACGTTGGCATAGCTCTGGGCGCCGGAACTCAAATAGCTATTGAGGCTGCAGACGCGGTACTTATAAGCAATAGCTTAGTTGACATCCTAAACCTGCGGGCTCTTTCCATCGCCACGGTCAAGCGGGTATACGGCAATTTTTTCTGGGCCTTTGGCTACAATCTATGTATACTTCCTCTTGCAAGTGGGATGTTTTATCCTGTTATTCATTTTAAGCTACCCCCCATTTTAGCTGCTGCGGCCATGGTTTTTTCCAGCATAAGTGTCCTTTTATCTAGTCTCTCAATCAGGTGGTTTGCGCCCTACGAGGCAAGGATGAATACTGCACTCCCCCCCAAGTGGTGAAAAAGAAAAAAAAAAATCGATAAATAGATTGATTTTGTTTGATCGCTAACTACACTTATATTACGTCCTTAAGATATTGTACAGGAAGAAAATTTGATTTTTCTTTCTTTTGAAACACAGACATCTATTGGTTCATTGCATTTTAACGGTATTTATAGAGGCAAGGCCTACACGAAATACACAAAGTACTACACAAAAGAATGTCTCCTACGGCTGCCAGGATGAACAACGCCTAAGAGGCGCAGCACGGGTTTGAGCGGTGTTGCGCGGAGAGCGCCCGGCTGATGGCCATTCACTTGGGCATAGTGCCCTCCAGTGCAACGGTGGACCAGCTGCGCGTCGCCGTGCGCGGTGCGGCGGAGCTTGAACCGATCGCCCCAGTGTCGCTGGTGGTGGACGACGGTGTGCCCTCCAACACCACATTTGTCGGCGAGTTTCATGCGCTCTCAGAGGATGCCGACGGCTTCCCCCACCTCGATTATACTTTGGAGCGAAATTTCTGTCTTTTCTATTCATTCGACTTCTGGTGGTCGTACTTAAGGATGATACATTGCTCGTTGAGTGGCCGGGAATGGATAGGATTGTTTTTTTTTTTTTTTTTTGTTGTTGTTGGTTGTTTATTTTGGGTATTAGTCTGTTTTCCGTTGTTGTAATTTTTGGCGCTGTTTTTCAATTTTCTTTTTTTTTTTTTTTTTTTTTTTTTTTTGCTTGTAAGATTGTTTTACAGAACTCACTTTTTTTTTTTTTTTTTTTCGTGTATTCGTGTGTTAGAAGGTTGTGGAGTTTTCAATTATGACGAAATACGAACTAAAGCTGCAGTATTTTGACGAGTGGATGATGCGATGGAGGAAGTTTCAGACGGATTCGGATTGGACTATTGAGAAGAATCGCCAGTGGTGGCGTCAGTGCAATATGGCGCTCTCTGCCGTGTTGTTTGGTTCACTGGTGGTGTACACTTCGGGGACGGCCACGCTGAAGCGCCAGTATGGTCTCCCCCACTTTTTTGATGTTGGCATTGATGGCCAGATCAAACAAACGGTCCTTCAGACATTGACCTCTCGTTGGCGCTACACTCCGCAAGGTTATGGCCGCGTGCTGCTGACGGGGATTCCCACATATACGCTTTTTGTTCTTCTTGAGCATTATCAGGAGAGGCGACGCATGCATCTGTATGTTGCCCAGAACACTGTGTTTGGGGAACAGATGCGTCGTTTTTTAAATACTGGGAAAATTGAAGAATATCTTGCGGTGAACATTAAGGGATCTCTGCCTCCCTCTCAGCGAAGTATTTACACCTATTAAGGAAAATAAGATGTCCGCAGTGGCTGTGGGCGTTATGGATAGCAGGGTGGGCAAACGGTGAAAACAACGTTTTTTTTATATATATTAGCGGCGTCGGTGGTGGAGATGTGTATCAGCAGCTGCAGTCTTGTTTAGATGCACGACTGTAGGTGTGGATAGGTGAATTGGTGTGGCGTAGTTGTTTTTTTTACCTTGGGGCCCTTTTGTTGTCGTTGTTGTTGCAATGTGTTTGTCTTTTTTTCTTGACGTGCTTGCAGGGCTGAGTCGAGTGGGCGAACCTTCAGAACCTTGCGCATGGCTTTTGCCTCTGACGAGTTTGTGAACGGCGTGTCAATGGAAAAGATTTAAGGAACTAGGAGTAGTGGACGAGAGGCTATTCGCCTCTTGTTGAATTTCTTTTTTTCTTTTTGTTTTTGTTTGTAGGAATTGTGTCCAAATCTTAATGTTTTTTCCGCTTTTGTCAATGCTGGCTCCTGTGATGGGAGAAGTCTCATCCGGCATCGGTGCATGTCTTCTGTAATGACTGCTTTTGCCATTTCCGGTAAAATTTATTTCTGTTCTTGTAATTCTCCGTTTTTTTTTTTTTTTTTTGTTTTTTTTTTTTTCCTTTCGGCAGCGAGGGTGCAGCGTGTAGGGGCATTCGACTGAGGCGGGAGAGAACACGAAAGGAGAGGAGGAAAAGGTTTTTTGACAGGACGCTGCCACACAATATTTTTTTTTTTTTTTTTTTTAGGTAAGCAGGAAAGACAAGAACAAAAAAAAAGGGTGGGGTGTCTGCACATCCGCAAATAAGACTGCGGTGTGCGACCAGCCGTAAATTACGTGGGGTCTCTCAAGGATTGTGCCTTCTCCCAGGCAAATCTCAAGTGGGTTGTCAGCAGGGGACAAAGGTGAGGGCTGTGAAGCGTGGGTACTCTGCCATGGCGCAGCAAGGAGGTAACATTAGACGTGGAAGCTCTCGTAGTAACGTACATCCTGCCTATGGAGCAATGGTGCAAACGGAGAAGTTTACTAGGGACGACTCCACGGAGACTTTTGAGGGATGCAATATCCAAGTGCAGGTTAGGACTCGTGAGAACGGTCGACGTTCTCCTCTTGTAGCAACGCCTACTCACCGATCGCAAAAGTCCTCTGTAGTGCCACTGAATTCATATGGCAGCGAAGAGAATAGCCCTCCTATTGCTACTCCCATTGCATTTCGAGGGCCCCAGGAATTTCCTGCTGTGTTCAATCCACAGGCTTTACTGCAAGAGCCACTACCACCTACAGTTGTTCATCGTGGACTTTATGGTAAGTGTCGTTTCATTTTGTTCCCTTTGCTTTCGGCGTTTGAAGTTTTGCCACCCCCACCTGCGGGGAAGAGTTTTCCCCTCTTTGTTGGCCAAGTGCGTTTTGAGACAACGCCTGCAGAGCTGATTTGGCTTTTTCGTCGTACATCTGGCGCATGCGCCATTACCATTGAAGGACGAGGAAATGGTTGTTTTATTGTACACTTACAAAGTGAGTCCGAACGGTCTTTGGTGCGTCAATTGCACAGACGCGTTTTATTTGACATTGGCGGAGTATGGTTTGCCCGATCTTCTGAGGAAGTAGATAGCCTTTGTGAATATGTGGCGCTTAATGGGCCGTATCTCTCCAAACAGGCAAAGCTGCCGCGTGACTCGATGGTCGTTGAGGACATCAAAGTGGAATTGAAAGATATGGCATTTTGTCATCCCTGTTACTACTCTCAGGAGGCAGTGGCCCAGTCGTTTTGGAGCAGTAGTGGTGTTGCGTGGGATTCTTCAAATAGCCGAAGAGAGACACCCACAAAAACGCCATACTGCTCGCCGCCGACATCCCCACTGGCGGCGTCATTAACAATGCCGTACTCAAACATGAGACCACAAGATGTTTATCAGACATGCACTCCACCGAACTCGTTAAGAAGGGAAATTGAGGGCGCTCGTACGGAGCTGTGATGAGCGTGGGGTGGATGGATGAGCTGAAAGGGGGGTGGGGGATAGTGTGGGCAATTAATAAGCAAAATAAAAATCAAATAAGGTAAAAAAAAAAAAAAAAGAGAGAGAGAGAGAGAGAGAAAAGGGCCCCACACGGGTCTTTTGGAAGACAAATATGTGCGGTTTATTTTTATTTTTTTGGTTGTGTTTGTTTGTTTGCATTTGTTGCTGTTGTTTTTGGTGGATGGGGAGGGGGGAGTTGATTTGTGTCGCGGGTGCCAAATGATGTTCTTTTTGGATTTGAGTTTTCCTCCCAGTTGTGCCCGTGTGCACCATCATCCGAGGCCAAGAAGCGACAGGGGAGTAAATGTTTAGAGGGTGGGAGGGGGTGGGAGGGGGATAGAAACCAAATGAAACGAAATCAACAACAACAAAAATAAATAACAAAATAACAATATTAGCACGCGTCAGTTTATGAAGTAATACGCAAGGCTCCAATAAGGCAAAAAGAGGCTCTAAAAGACCCAAAGATGGAAAGGACGGTATTCTCTTTTGGAATTTCAGAGAATAATACAAAATGAAAGGAGCTCACGGAAACACATGACGCACGACAAGGAAAGAAAGCGTCTTTGAAGGAGAACTAAAAAATAGAAACTCCCTGAAAGAGGGTGGTGGGAAATCCCCGTTTTTTCTTTTTTTGTGTGTGTGTTTTGTTTGCTTATTCCTTTGCGGTTGGGAAGGGGAGGGATGTGTTTCATAAGGTCAAGTCGATGTGATGATGACGGTTACAAATACTTTGCTGTAATGGTTGCTGCTGACGGCCTTGATTGGGGCGCAGGTGCAAATATGGGTTTGGCTTTCTCTCTTTCTCACTGCTTGTGTGCCGGTGTGGTGGATGAGTTTGTTGTTGTTTTCTTTTTTTGAATTTATTTTTATGTACACACTTGTCTCCCTCTCTCCCTCTCTCTCTGTGTGTGTGTGTGCCATCATTTCCCCGCTCTCTCTCTTCTTCTGCTCCACGCGATGTACATTCGGCTGCGCAGGGAAGTGGTGATAATAGGGAGAAGGAAACGTTGGTACTGTGGCGTTCTCGATCAAACAAATACAACGGAGGAGAAGCTCCTACACACCAAGAAGGAGGAGGGGGGGAAAAAAAGGGGGAAAGGGCAGATGGGTGGAGCTTTTCCCACACTTTGGTAGGAAAAATGATGGGTAAAATGAGAGGAGAAATATTATGCCGGGGCGTTTATTTGTGCTGCTGCTCACATTTTCTTTTTTTTTTTTTTGTTTTTGTTTTGTTTTTGTTTTGTTTTGTTTTTGTTTTGTTTTGTTTTTGTTTTTGAATCCTGTTTCTCACCTTTTTTTTTTTGCCGTAATTTTTTAATCCTCCTCTCATTCCCACGAGTGTATGATCCGATCCACGTATTGCTGCTGTTTATTTCTTGAAGTGAAGGCGGTGGAAACGCATGTGCATAGGTGTGGCTGCAATTTTCTTTTTTCATTTGTTTTACCCCACGAGGGCCAGTTGCTTCAGGATATTTATCAATGAAATACTCGGAGAGTGTGGGAAAAGGATAGAGAGAGAGAGAGAGAGAGAGAAGCACTACATTTTTTGTTTTTGGTCTTTTTGTTAATATTATTTCTCCAAACAGAAAAGTATGCACCCTTTTTTTTATGTGTGTATGCAACGGATACATGCATACATGGGGGAAGCGAATACACAAGCGGAATGATTTGTTTCTTTACATGTGTTGCGAACGCATTTCTCGCCTTTTTTTTTTTTTGTGTGTGTGTGTGTCTGTGTGTATGTAATGTATGTGTGATTTAGTTAGGAGTTTCGTAATGACACGAAACTGAGGGCGGAGAATAGGCACACAAACACGCGCAGAGAAAAACAGAAACGGAATACTGAAACTTAAAAAGAAAAGAAAAAGAAGAATAGATGTATGATGGTGGTTTCGGCTTACTCGACTGCATCTATTTGCCATGCGGAAGCACTGCGGCTTCTTGTAACGGCTATCTTCCCGAGTGCATCCATCGTCCTCTCTATCCCGAAAGGGTCTCAGATGTACGCAGGAGGAGCCGTGGTGGAGGGTGCACTCTTTGAAAAACTCCATCAAAAACTTTTGCGGGCTGAACCATCCTCAGACGTTGCAGAAGAATACTGCGACCGGAAAAGACGACCGTCGGAAGATTTGCCCGTGTCGCCGCATGGTGGATGCCTGCAGGCACGGAACGGCCCTCTTTCCACGCCGTGCTCCCCAGACGTCGTGGATGTGTGGAGAACGCTTTATCTTAAGTGGCCTCCACAACCGGTTGCAGGCCGTCCGTTATGGCGCTACGATTCGGAGGAGTCATCGTTGCCTGGAATGCCGTGCTGGACACCTCACGCCGTGGTTTACATTGGCGGCTTTGAGGCCCCTGATCTCCGTCAAGTTGTTGCGCCACAGCTGTTTGCCCAAGTGCCACCCTTTTCCAGCGACACGGAGGTGGACCGAACCTTTGGAGGTAGAACGTTTGACTACAGGAGGCAGAAGGTTCCGAAATTTGCGTCCAGGGTGCTGGACAGAGAGTTTCTGTTGCGGGAAAAAGGGTGCGCAATACACGAGCCCGACTTATTGGAGATGGCATTGCCCGTGACGTTCCCGTCCAACAGTAGTCTCAAAGAAAACTCCACTGAGACGCGGCGTGTACGCACATTTATTTCCTTTGCTGGATCTGAACCGAATCTACGCGCGCTTCAGGTGGCAGTGGATCCAATGCATCGACGCGCATTGCGTCCAGCCTTTGGTTACTCCATTGCCGCTCTAAAGTTTGCTCTTCCCCCTCCTCTTGTGAACGCCACTCGGCTTCTTCGACAGTGGAATGAGTCATGGTCGCCAACGCCTCTCAGCACCGCATTCTGGCTTTCCGCAGTGGGACACGCGGTAGAACTACGTTTGCCAATGGACAAAACAGCGTCTTTTCTTCTTCATGAAAATGCCTGTAGCCTGGCGGAGGCGTCCAAGTCGATTGCCTTCCTTACAGCCTCGCTTGTTAGCAGCAGTCCTCAGGAGTGCTGGAATAATTTTTTTTTGCCCGTGGAGCGGTTTGAGGCGGAGCGCGGCGTGCGGGAACTGATGGGTACAATCAATATCCTGCCAGTTGGGCAGCTGCAATAATCACGACGTGAGTGTTTCTCTTCTGTCCCTGATACATGTGGTTGATTCTTGATTGTAACACTTGATCTAACGGTCATATGTGTGTTTATTGACGTTGGGTGACATTTGGTGGTGATTGAATCCCATCTCCATCTCCTTATTATTATTATTATTATTATTTAAAAACAACTATAATATCTGTAGTTTTTCTTTTTTATTGTTGTTGTTGTTTTCTTTTAAGGGAAAACGGAATCTTCTGCATTGATTTTATTCTGTGGAGAGGAGGGATAATAATACTAACAATATTAATAATAATAGTAATAACACTGCGCAAAAATGTTGTTTCAGATTGTAAGTAACGTTGCGGACAAGGTGGATCTTTTCATTGAGGATGAAATGACTGTTGGTGAGGTGCGTGTGTTAATCGGACAAATGATTGACGCCGATGAAAAGACGATTCGTCTTACATTTCAGGGCCATGTGCTGGAGGACGACAAGGCCACATGGGAATTGATATTAAAGATGTATCCTTTAGCTGAAGACACCCCGCGCAAACTCTTTGTGCATGTCTCAGAAAGGCTGAGGACCGGATCGGCGAGCATGGAGGCGCTGCGAGCGGCGTTAGTGTCGGCGTCGGGTCAAGAAGACGAAAAAGCCGCGCGAGTACAAGCCAGACTTATGGAGCCCGTTATTGACCTCATGGTGAAGGACCCATCCATGGTTGAAATGATGTTGTCTTCGCATCCAGGATTGAAACAAATGTTGGAAAAACACCCCGAACTGAAGAGTCATGTCTGTGACCCAGAGACTCTAAAGACTTTGATGATGTCACAAATTGATCCCGATCAACGGCGCTCCTTGAATCGAGGAATGGGATTGCAACTTGCTCAGCTTAGTGCGTTGCCCGGAGGCGAACAGCTTTTTGAACACCTGACTTCGGAATATCTGAATGACATGGCTGCCCTTACGGAGACCCATGTCTCTAGTTCTTCGGATAACGTCGATGAGGCACAGGCACGTCCTGATCCAACCAAAGAGGCAAACAGCGAGGCATTGCCAAATCCCTGGGAAAGGCAAACGTCCAGTTTGCAGGGCGCATCAGGGTTAAACTCAGTGAATGGAAACACAAATAATTTGTTTAGTGCATTTGGCGGACTTGGAGCTTCTGGAGGTTCGATGCCTTTTGCTGGGCTATCCGGTAATATTGCATCATTGGGTCACACGAATCCCGTGACCGCGGCTTCCTTTTTGCCTCCACGGATGCTGTCTTCCTCTCATGAAGGAAACCATGTACCAACTACGGATCCTACCCACACAAGGGAGGCATCGGCAAATACTGGAGAGTGGGCGTCACAGTTAGCAACATTAAGGGAAATGGGATTTGATAATGAGGCACTGTGTTTAGAAGCCTTACGTGCGTCAAATGGAGATATTGATGGGGCTGTTAACTACATTGCGGATAAGGATAAATGAGCGTTGGATCCTTCACAGGCCACAAAGAAGTAGTGATATTCATCTTCCTTGGAATAACAATTTTGGGATATATACATGTATATTCTATCAGGGAGGTGGGTAGATATTTTCTCCACACTTGCACGAAAGCTTGGATTTTTTTTTAGGGCCTTTTTGTTGTTGTTGTTGTTGTTGTTGTTATTTTTGAGGCATGTAATAATTTATTATTATTATTATTATTATTTATTATTTATTATTCATTATTTTGGTTACGTTTACGTTTTTTCTTCTTGTGTTTCTACATGAGAATGTGTGCTTTTTCTTCTGTGGTTGTGTCTTTCTGCGTGAATGTCTGTTGATGACGTTGTTGTTGTTTCTTTTTTTTTTTTTGTGTGTGTTTCCTTAATTTTAATTATTCAGGCGATTTAAATGCCTGTGCGAAATAACGGACGGAACATTTTTTTTTTTTTTACCCCTCTCTCTCTCTCTCAGTGTTTGTCTGCACAGTTTGCCTTGTCGTTGTATTCTTTCATTCCTTTTTTGTTGTTGTCGTTTCTATCTGTTACGGTTTGGTTTCTTTAATTGTAGCCACTGGCGGGAGGCCGGAGCAGCTCCACGAGACAAGTCGGGCAAGAAGGAAGGCACAATCACGCACATCAACTTACACATTTTGTTTGTTTGTTTGTTTTTCTGTGGTATTGTTTGGAATAGCGGCGACAGGGCACTGCATAACGGGAATCCTTTTATTATTATTATTTTTTTTTTTATATCTTTCTTTACTTCCGTGTGTGTTGGTGCGCTGCGCATAAGTTGCATCACGTGTCTTCCCGTATTTCCGCATCTTTTGCGGGAAACATGCGTGTTGTCGTTTCCTTTGCTGCCGGTTTGTTAGCCGCTTTGTTGCACCGCCCCGTCGATGACGCGTTTCCCGCGGAGTGTTACCGCAGCATCGAGAATGCACTTCACTTTCGCAATAAAAAGCGTGATGGTGAAGTCTTTTCACAGCGCTACGAGCCGTACCAGCTGGGAGAAGTGATTCCAATCACGCACGATACCGCCCTTTTCCGTTTTCTTCTTCATGCGGATGAGGAGTTCAATCTGAAGCCGTGCTCGACGCTACAGGCTTGCTACAAGTACGGGGTTCAGCCGATGGAGCAGTGCCACCGCTTCTACACACCTGTCACGGCCAACCGCACAAAAGGATATTTTGACATCATTGTGAAGCGCAAGAATAGTGGCCTCATGACAACTCATCTTTTTGGAATGCACGTTGGGGATAAACTGCTATTCCGCTCTGTGACCTTCAAGGTGCAATACAAACCGAACAAGTGGAACCATGTGGGCATGATAGCAGGTGGCACTGGCTTTACGCCAATGTTGCAAATTATTCGTCATTCTTTAATGGAAAAATGGAATGACGGTAGTGTGGACAATACAAAATTATCATTTCTTTTTTGTAACCGCACAGAAAAGCATATTTTACTTAAGGGTCTCTTTGATGATTTGGCGGAACGTTACTCCAATCGGTTTAAAGTGTACTACACCGTTGATCAGCCTGTGGAGCCTGAAAATTGGAAACATTTTGTGGGTTATGTATCCAAAGAAATGGTGCAACAAACAATGCCTGCACCGGATGAAAAGAAAAAGATCATTATGCTCTGTGGCCCTGACCAACTGCTGAATCATGTGGCAGGCACACCCATGGGGACAATGAGCGCCATGTCAAGTGGGATGAATATTCAGCCCCTTGCACCAGATCTAAACAATTTGGTTTCCCTTGGCGGCATCTTGGGTGAACTCGGCTACAAGAACGATGATGTTTATCGTTTCTGAGCCGCATATCAAGAAAAGAGGTTGAAGAGGAATTGGATTACATGTGGGGTGAGTGGATGATGAGGCTTGTAAAGTTCCACGGCTGGGTTTTTTGATCATGAAGATGTGGTGTGAAGGATTCTCAGACCTAACTTCCCTTTTGGCGCTTCTGTTTAGTTGTGCCCTTTCATTTCCCCATCTCCTGTGTGTATTCTTTTTTGGATGCCTTTTACTTCTTACTTTTTTCTTTTTTTCCTTCCTTGTCCACTGCGTTGCGGCACACAGAGGCATTGAGGGAAGAGAAGTGCCCAAGAGGAATATATATTTTGTTAAAAAGTCAAGAAGAACAGGGACACGTACATTAGAAAATACGCCATGTTGCGTTTTACTCGCTGCAGTCTCACTGGACGTGCGATGATCTCTCGTGGAAGTCCGGAGTGGTCACATCGTCTGGACCTTAAAAAGGGGAAAAAAACGATACTAATGCACAAGCTTGGCACAAGCAAGCCCAACAATGCACTTCAGTACGCGCAGATGACACTGCATGACTTGACAGAATGGTGCCTCACGTATTCGCTGTGGCCGCTGACTTTTGGTCTGGCATGCTGCGCAGTGGAGATGATGCACGCGTATGCTGCGCGCTACGACTTGGATCGCTTTGGCATCGTTCCGCGTCCCACACCTCGTCAGGCGGAAATTATTATCGTCTCCGGCACTGTGACAAACAAGATGGCGCCACTCCTTCGGAATATTTATGTTCAGATGGTAAACCCAAAGTGGGTTATCTCAATGGGAAGTTGCGCCAATGGTGGCGGTTACTATCATTTTTCATACGCCGTGTTACGTGGGTGTGAACGGGCCATTCCTGTAGATTTTTGGATCCCCGGCTGCCCGCCTTCCGCAGAGAGTCTTGTGTTTTGTCTACACACATTGCAGAAGAAGATCCGCTGGCATGAGATACAAAAGTACTCCGTCCGCGGCTAAAATCAGCAGTGCACTCTCTCTAGTTTGGCTGCTGCCGAAGTGCTGAGTGGCGGAATCATTGAAAGCCTCCCTTTCCGTGGAGGGAGAGGCAGAGAAAACACCCTTGCCTACCGATGAAGGAGTCATATATATATGTATCATTCGAGAATGCCGTGCACACACAAGAGGAAGAAGGAGGGGAAAAAGAGGAGTTTTAGAAGGAAGCGAACAGCAACGGAAAACATGCGGTACGGAGGAGAAACAAAAGGATGATTCGGGTGTGGGGGGAACGGGGGAAGAGTTGCAGGTGCAGTAATGGCATGGCACCCATTTACAGTAAAATGCTTGTGTCGAGGCACATGCATGGATTAAACCGAGCAATGAAAAGGGGGTAAGGGGTTGGGAATAGGAATGAGGGGAGTTTATTTTATTTTATTATTATTATTTTTTTTTTTCTTTTTTCTCCTTGTAAGTGCGTGTGTTTTTCTTTCTTCCCTTCTTTGTGTCGTTTTGGACAGGTGTGCAGGAAAGTAAAAGGACGGAGTAGCAAGGGAAAACATATAGGGAGATTGTGTGCGTGCGTGCGTGAGAGAGAGAGGAAGGGGAGGGGAGGCGATGAGACAGTGAAGGTGGAGTGCATTTTTTTATGACGGTCATTTGTGGTGGAGAAAAAAAGAAACACTTGGAGGTCAGAAAAATTTTACCGCTCTTTTATTTTTCTCTCATTTATTTTTTTTTCTGCTCCTGGCAGCTGAGCCCTTTGCACGATTGCTGAAATTCAAGTTGTTACACACCCAAAGCCATGCAACCCAAAATTTGCCACGTTGTCTTCTTCCGCCTTGACCCGGCGAAGGTGAAGACGCTGCTGCCAACGGATGTACTCCAGCGGCACCTCAGCGTGATCCGCGAGAAGGTGCCCGGTTTGTTGGAGCTGAATTTCGGGCCAACCGGCACCAACCTATACCCCAACTACGTTGACTGCAGCAACGGCTACACGCACTGTCTTGTGTCAAAGCACGCGGACGCCGACAAACTGAAGGTTTACGCTGAGCACCCGGACCATGTCGTTTTTGCCAACCTGTTGAAGTCTTCCTCGGCAGCGCCGCCAATTCGCATTGACTTTGAGCTGAGCGCCGGCAATGAGTAGCACAGTTTGATGTGAAGGCTTCTCTTTATTATTATCATTATTATTATTACTATTATTTACACAGACACAACTGCCCAAATCATTCACTGTGTTATGGGCTCAAAAAAATGGTATTTCTTTTGTGTGCATATTTGTGTTTGTAAATTTGCACGTGTGCGCCACTCTGATTTTTTTCTCCGTTTTTTTTTTTTTTTTTTTTTTTTTTTGCGTGTGATGTTTCGTCACGGCGCCTTCACCACATATATACATACATTTATGCATTTATGTGTATGCATGCAAGGAATCAGGATAAAAGGAAGGACAGAAGATCAACAGTTGAAGCCAATTTTCAAAAGTAGAAAGCACACGTTATTTGTACGCGTCACGGTTCTTCAACTTTGTAACGTTAAATAAAAACGACTGAGAGCGTCTAACTTTTTTTTTTTGTTTGTTTTGTTTTGTTTTGATTTTCAAAAGGAAAAAAAATAAATAATTTGTGCGATTTTTCAACAGAGTCAATATGCCCTCAGTGATGCATGTTGCTCTCTTTCGGCTACGCGATGGCATGGATGAAAACAAAATTGCGAGTCTTCTTCAGGCCGCTCGAGAGGAAATCCCCGGCGTTGTGGAGATTCACTTTGGTGCGAACAAGGTGCGAAGTACAAAACACGGCGGCTTATCGACGAACGACCAGACACATGCGCTCGTCTCACGCCACGAGCACAAGGAGCATTTTAAAAACTACATCCTGCACCCCCGCCACTTGGAACTCATGCAGTACATTTGTTCCTTCGCAGTGGCCCCGGCGACAGTAGTGAACTTCTACGCGAATGAACGTCCTCACCTCTAAAGGAAAGGATCTACGAAAACCAAAAAAAAAAAAAAACAAGGGAGGGGTAAAAGGTAAAGCATAGAGAAGAAACCGTCATGACTTTTTTTTTGTTATTTTTACGCGCCTGCATGCTGGGGAAGTTGTTGATGGGACGGAAGATGACGACCCTTGCTGTGACACTTGTATTCATGCCGCCCCACTCGTAACTGCAATGAAAGTACGGGTATGTTGTTGTTGTTTTTTTTTTTGTGTGTGTGTGCCACAGGGATTGGGTGAAGACCGTGGATGAGGGAGAGCGGCGAGAAGCAAGAAGATATTCATATATATATATATATATATATATATATATATATATATATATTATATATGTCTATTGTGTTGGGAGCTTGTGAAACTACTGTTTGTGAGAGGGCTGGCTAACTAATTTAATTAATGTATGATTATAAGAAGAAGAAAACGAAGATATTTATTTACGATTCCTTCGCATCTTATGAATCTTTGGAAGACCGCAATGGGAGGAGCCAATGAACCGATAACGTCAAGACGAAGCAATTTTTTTTTTTTTTTTTTTTTTTTTTTGGAGGGGGTTTGTTTGTTTGTTTTATTTTCGCCGTCCCACTCGGCATTTTTTTCTGATTACCCCCCACCTTGAGACGGTGTCTTGCGGCTGGACGAACCCAAATTTTACCAATTCGTAAGTAATATAAACATCTCCAATCCGAATAGAGCGCAACATGCCAAGATAGCGGTTATCAGAAATATATATATATATATATATTGCATACTTGAAGCAAGCATGGAGGATATGGCGAGGCCACCGCCTCTTCTTTACCCCCCTTTTTATCAGCCTGTTTAATTTATAAGTTCTGTATTTGGCGAGCAGCCCAGGCAAATATTTTTTTTTTTTTCTTTTATGTTTATTTATTGGGAGGGTGGGGTGGAAATTTTTTTCAAGAAGGTTCGTTTGTTCTGCGTGGGCGTTCTTCCCGTCATTCTTCTTCGTGCGTGGGGGGCGGATGACGGTTGTTTTCATGCACTGGTGGTACCGAGGAAATCCTCACAGAAGAAACCAACCAGCGGGGGGAGAGGTGGCGCGAAGATGCCCAAAGAAGGGGCATCGGACGACGTCACATGTCACACAACCGGGGTGGGGGAACTCGTTTTCACAGTTGGTCAAGCACGTGAAGGTGATGGTGCTGGTGGAACAAAAGTGGATAAAAGAGAGGAACCAAAATAAAAAGATAAAAATGCCGTTGAACCAAGAAGGTGAGGGGGGTGGAAAAATAAGAGGGAAATATTGGGCTTCTTTTTCTGCCCGCTCATTTATTTTTCTTTACTGTTTTTTTCCGTGCTTTGGATGGCAGTTTTTTCCCCCTTCTCAATATCCCTCCTGTCATTGTTACTGTGAGTAGTGTAATGTTTTTTTTTGTTTTTTTTTTTTTCTCAAGAGGGTTTGCCCCAGCAATTCACAGCTGGTCCGAGCGCTGGTCGATGCCGTCAGCCCTGCGCCAAAAACAATGACCCCGTTAGGGAAACATGGCTCTTGGCTTTTCCACCTCGGATAATACGGGGCAATTGGCCCTGACGCCACGCTGAGGCGGCCGGCATTGCCAGGGGAGCGGTCTCCAGTTGGGCTCTTTGCTTTTTGCTGGGGGCTTGGGTCGTGTGTCACCCGGTCCGCCCACACGACTGGGGTGAGGAGATGTCCGGCTGCGGCGCCCCTTTTCCGACGAGCCTGGCAATAGACTGTGATACGCGCATTGCCAACTTCCGCATTTATTCATCGCCGCTGTCTCCGGGTCAGGTGCTTTGCCCTGCAGGAATGCCGCTGGCATTGTGGGGCACACGACCATGCGTTGGCAGCACGGCAGCGACCACATCATGGCGCCTTACAGGCTGACATCCAGAACACTCCACTGCAGGATGGTTGACTTTTGGCTTCCCGAAGAATTGCACCCGTGTCTCTCGGTGATAGGCTCTGGCACTACGGTGATGTAGTCAACCATGAAGACACCGGTTTTTTTTCGTTCTGGTTGTTGTCGTTTTTTTTTTTTTTTTTTTTTATGCCGGTGTGTTTTCATTTATCCCGATTACACTTTCAATCCGATGGGTAGAGAGAGAAAAAAGGGGAAAAACTGCTGTTAGATTGCATATAATTTCTACTCTAACGGATATTATTATTATAGGAGCTTGTGAAGAGAATGATTGCGGGAGAGCTGGTTAACTTAATTAATGTATATTTATTTATTTATATTTATATTTATATCCTGATAAACGCATGCACTCCTTTATGAAACTTTTCCTGTCTTATGAATTTTGGGAAGGCCACGACCTTAAGGACATCAGGGAACCGATAGAGGCCAGATAATTTTTTATTTTTATTTTCACCCTCTCACCCACACCCTCTTTTTCATTCCCCACCACGCGGCGGAGTCTTGTGGCTGGAGGACCTCAAAGTTTGCTACCTCGTAAGTAATATATATATATATATGTATGTATTTAGATGTACACTTACTTGGTTTTAAACTTCGAGGATATGGTGAATCCCCACTCTTATTCCATTCATCTCTTTCCTATTCCTATCGGGTTTGTTTTCTCCTATTATTGATAAACTCAGGATTTGGCCAGCGGCCCAGAAGATTATTCAGTGTTGTATTGGAGGGGGGAATTTGCTCTCTTTCTCTCTTTCGAATAGATTTATATTTATATGCGACTTTGGCCTTTTAAATAAGTTTTTCCTTGATGCAATGCTGCATATGTGTATATGGTTTTTTATAGTAAGGTAGAGTCTCAGAATTGTTTTCTCTTGTAGAACAAAACGCTACGGATGAAATGCGCGTAGGGCCATCTATTCGACTGCTTTCTTTTGGATGGGCACGCGGTCCACTTTTACGAATGCATTTTGGTGGTGGAAATGCAGCTCAGATTTCTTCTGCGGGGAAATGTTTTTGTAATACGGCCGCGGTGTTGTGCAAGAAGTCTCCACAGCCCCTCCCATTGTTAACACCAGTGAAGTTTGCACAGATTGCACCGATGGTTTTGCTTTGTCAAGCTCTGAAGCAACACGCGGCGATGGACAGTGCTGTTGGCATAAACGGGAACAGCAATGTCATCAGCCGGGCGGTATTTAACCATTACTGTTTTGAAAGCCATGTAGAAAATAGTGACGAGGCGTTGCGACTGTTGGAGGAATCAGGCAGTGTCGTCTCTCTTTCCAACGGGGAAGGAGTGCACCTTCGGCCTTTGCAGTTTGCACACATGTACGAAGACCTCACTGGGGAGGGGGAGGAGAAAGGTTCCACTTTGGCTTTTTTTCTTGAGGAGGCAACGAAACGATTGAAGGCTGCACAGGCTGAAGAGGCGGCGATGCGGAGTGAACTTCAACCAGCCCTAATGCGAGCTGCAAAGTGGCGTCGAGTGGTGTGGGGCGGTGCATTGTGCTTTTCAGGGGCGCAACTGGCAATTATTTCGCGTCTGACGTTCTTTGATTTTGATTGGGATACCATGGAGCCCGTATCGTACTTTCTTGGCACTGGCACGTCCCTGCTGTTTTTCTTGTACTTCCTCCGCCACGGGCGGTCACACACGTACGAGGACTACGACAGAACGACGCTACCAACAAAACTGAGAAAATATGCTCCTCCTGGCTTTGATTGGGAAAAATATGAGGCCATCTGCAAAAATGTCGATGATGAACGAAGAATGTTGAATAGAATCAAGGAATGGATGAAAAAACACTAAGCAAGGAAAAACTTTGGGCGTGCATGCATATGTTTATATCTTGCTGGAATGCAAACCTTGTTCTATTTGTTTGTTTTTTATTCCATGCTCCATTCCTGACCATGTACACTGCGCCGATGTGCGTTTGTAGGGACGGGGGTGAATGTCAATTCCCTCTCAATCCAATAGAAGTTCTTTCTTTTTCCCCCCCTGTCGTAATTTTGTTTACACAAGCGAAACGACAGGAACTCGAATAAAAATAAAATGAAAAAAACAGAAAAAAACAGAAAAAAGAAAAGGGATGAGTGTTTTCTACTTGGATCTTTTTTTTTTCTTTTTTTTTCTTCTTGCCGCGCTCCCCCCTCTGTTTCACGCGTCCGTCTCCTTATTTACAATGTACGCTCATGCCAGCGTCGCATTTGACTGTCACTGACAGCCATGCGTTTTGGTTTTGTTGTCGTTTCTTTTTTTTTTCTTTTTATGCTGATTTGGTTTAGTCTGAAGTGAATGCAGCCTTTTTTCGGTCATTCCCAATCGCCACAACGGTTTAAATGGTACTGTTCTATACTAACCTTTTCTTTTTTTCTTTTGCCTTTTTTGCAGCCATGTGTTTGCTTTCCCCCGCACGACATGTGCGCATCGTGTGAAGAAAAAAAAAAAAAAAAAAGAGTGGTTGCATCCTTGTAGACAAATAATTAGATGTTTATTTGTGTGCGGAATAATAATGAAAATTACATCTGCACTTCAAGTTGTGGTTGCAGTAAATTTTTATTTTTATTTTATTTTTTTTTTGAAAGGCTATATTTGCAATTTTGTCTCTGTTTGCGTGTGTCACACCATTGTCTTTTGTATTTCTTGCTGTTCCTGTTCCTTTTTTGTTTTTGTTTTTTTGTGTGTGTGTAGCGGAGAGGCAAAAACTCTCTGGGTGACAACCACCAACGATCATCGTCGTCATCGCGAGAATACCCAGCAAGAGAAAAAGGCGCAACACACAATAGGCCAGATGCATATGAATCTGACCTCATCCATCTCGGAGAAGCCTATGAGCACTCGGAGAAAAATGATAAGAGCGGAAGACACTGTGAGGCTTGAGAGGTCGAGGTTGTTGTTACATCGTCGTGAAAAGACGCATTGTGATGAGCAGCGGTGTTACGGCGCCGTTACTTCTTCAACGATGCGCAGAGCGAGCTCCGTGCCCGTGAACCGTCCTTGGCGAATTGTGACTGCGCATCGTTCTGGGTCGAGAGACCGGGAATTGACGATACGTGAGCAGACCACGAGGTTGGCAGAGGAGGCGAAAAAAACACTCTTCCATGGAAGTTTTACCTCAAGTCATGGTGCAATGTTCAGCGTGCTGCCGCTGCACCGCCATGAGGGCAGGGTAAAGTCCATCACAAGAAGGCACCCCAGTGACACACATACGGCAGAAATGGAAGTGTTGTCGCCAAAAAAAGAGAAGGGAATTTATACTACCGCTGTGGATGTCGCCGCGCCAAGTGTTCTCAAGAAAGAAAAGGGATCACCATTTCTTCGCGAGCATCAGAGCTCTCCAGAGCCTTCCTCATTTAATACCGAGTATATTACTACGGCGAATCAACGTCCAAGAAGTGCGGACGCATCTTTAATCAAAGATGGTGGCCTTGGTTCATGTGTTAAGGAGCATGACATCCTGCGGGCAGATTCGATTCGCATGGCAATAAAACGCCCCGAAAAAATTGGTACCGCGTCGCGCGAGTTTTTTTCCTCTCCGAGCATTGAGAAAACTCAAGCTGAACCTGCGGCCCGTCCGGATGAGAAACGCATGCACATGATAAATGCCGAGGAAGCTTCCTTACGGAAAGAAGAAACCAATGTTTCTCTGGGTTCATTGCCATATGTTTATGCAGATATCAAGACAGATGATGGAATTCCTGGCAAGACGAGTGCCCATCGCATTTCTTTTGCTGAACACGTTGTTATTAATGACCCTGATACTTACACCGAAGAGGAAGAAGAGGAAGAAGTAGAGATCAGCTACGGCGATGCATTAATAAATCTTTTGACCTTTTCTGTACCAGCTGCCTTAACGATTGGTTTTACATTTGCGGTTACTGTTGTTCCATTGGCGTTTATCGGAAGTTATTTGGGTGAGTTGTACCTTTCTGGTGCCTCTGTTGGATGCTTCATTTTGAGTATTTTTGTCTTATATCCAATGATTGGAATGACATTTGCGATGGATACCTTATGCTCACATGAATATGGGAGAGATCAGAATAGTCAGGAACTTGGACTTCTTTTGCAACGAGGCATACTTATCAATCTCCTGTTCCTTACCCCAGCATGTGTTGCTTTGTATAATGTGGATTCTTTTCTTGAACGTTTCTACGGTGTAGAAATAGCAAGTGTGGCAAGAGATTTCTTGCATTACATGCCTTTGTTTATGCTACCCGAGATGATATTCATTGCGTTTAACAAATTTTTATGCAATCAAATGCGACCCCAGATTCCAATGTTTGCATTGGCTGCAGGATTTATTATAACTCCATTTGTGCAAATGAAATTGACACCGATGGGGGTCCGATACTCGATGCTTGGTATGTGTATTACGGCGTGGTTTCAACTAGTAGTCGTCATTCTTATGACAATATACGTTCCGCAGACGAGACACACACTTGGAAAACTACGTATTATGGAGGCTTTGCAACCATCGGATGTAAAAGGATATTTAAAACTTGCTATTCCAAGTGCGGTCTTTGTTGCCGCAGAAGCCTCCTCGTTTGATTTAACTGTTTTGTTGTGTGTCCATTTTGGAGAACAGGCAGGAGCGGCGTGGTCAGGTATCATGAATGCTCTTTATATCTTTGCCGCCTTCTCTGGCGGTTTGAGTGCGGGCGCTTGTGCCAATATTGGCCGTTGTGTCGGCTGCAATGAGCCAACGAATGCTCGGACGTACGTTGTGGCCTCTATCACTCTGGTATTATTGGTTAGCAGTATTGATTCAGCATTATTATATAGCTTTTTTGATTTTTTCATGTCGCTTTTTGGCACCAAGGGCCAAACGCTTCAGCTGGCACGTGAGACTCTCATTCTATTGCCAATCTTTCACATGGCGGATGCGGTGCAATTCACATTTCAAGGCATTTTTAGTGGTTTGGGCAAAAATCATTGGGGTGCTCTTATCCTGCTATCCTCGCTATGGGGCGTGGGTATTCCTTTGGCGTTTTTCCTTGGCCTGTACCTTCAGTACGGTATCTTTGGTGTCTGCCTTGGCATGACCATTGGCTTATGCATTGAAGCCCCCGCGATGGTGGCAAGTGGTTGTATGATGGATTACCAGTCTGTATGTGATACCTTTACTTTTGAAAGGATTAGTATTAGCGGAGAAGAAGAAGAAGAGGAAGCGGAAGAGAAATGTTTAACGGGTGAGGATGTACTCCGTCGGTCGGGGATTCCTGTGAGTCTGTCGGACTTTGGCCCGCGACTAGTAACAGACATTGGGCGAATTAGAGTTCCACAGCACCATTAACTCAAAGAATTAAACGGGGTAAGCAATTTTTCCCATTTCTTTTACTTTTATTTTTTGTTCTTCTTATTTTTGCCATAACCCTGTGAAAAGAACGGGCAACCAGATGATTCTGAGTAAATGGGTGGGTGACTTGCTCATCTTGGATGTTCCTTTACATATAAATTGTTTTGGTTTTCCAATGCATCCTCCTGTAGGACGGATTATGTCATGTTATTTATATATATATATTTTTTTTAATGTGTTATTTGCGCTTTTACTGCGCAATTCTTTTTCTTTTTTTTTCTTTTCTTTTTTTTTTTTTTTTTTTACGTGCGTTGTTATCACCCCGCCGGAAATTGCGGTGGGAACACTGAAATTACCGGCGCTGAAGGTTTGCAGTAATTCAGGGAAGCAAAGAAGAGAGTTGGAACGGACTGCAAGAGGAATTTCATTCACGTCGTAAAGAAGAAAAAAAAGAAAAACAAGAGATAAGTGTGATTGTGCTGCAAAGAGAGGAGGAGCAGCAGGAGGTGGTGGTGAAAGAAGTGTAGGGCGGCGTCTTTATTTATATACGAGGCGAGTTGGGGCGGGAGCACGGCGGCGTTTACACATCCCCCAGTAATGCAGGACAAAGCCACATTGCACGTCAATCACTGCAACCAAAGCAACGCCGCAACGTCCAACAGCACAGGGGCGAATGGCTCATCCTGGAGCCTGGTCCGGCTCTTCGACTCAGAAGTAACGGACTTGCTTCGGGAGCAGAGGGAGTTTCTGGCCAAAGCCCAGGCAAACGAAATCCGTGCATCCACATTTTTACGTTTGCGACTAAGCGCCCAACAGAAACTGGTGGCGCAGCGAAATCAATTCTCCGAGCGTCGGGCCGTACAGAACAAACGCAGAACTAGTGCCATGCCCTCTGCCATGGCGCGTACGCCCAATGCGTCTGGGCCTCCGGAGGATTTGGACTCGAACCCCGAAGAAGAGGGAGAAAGAGGAGAAGGGTGGCAATGTCGGGGCTGTTTGCGCAGCTATAACGATGCATCCGCTTTCACACGTCATAGAAGTCACTGCGCAAAATATATCCTGCTTAAAAAAAAACATGTTGGCGACACGGCGTCTCTCACTGCAAGTTCTTCCCATGTTGGAATGAAAAGTCGCCAACTGTTTTCTACATCGTCCGTTGGATCCACATTTAAAGCAGAACTGGAATTCACCAGGCAGCGGCTGGACTCTGCGGGGATTGGCTTACCGCGTGCAGAAGCAATCAATAATTGTGGCTTATCTTCTATTTTCAATGCATCTGGCTTATCCCATTCGGAACAGACGCGGCGAAATACTGCCTTTGGGAGCGATGCTGCCTTGCCAGGAACGGGTTCTTTACCAGCTGAAACTAAAAGCGCCAACCGTTCGCCTTCGATTCATTGTTTTTCTGCGTTGGAAGAACGAAGGGACGAGCGTGTGGAAGAGGATGGTAGGAAGGACGCTGCTCCCATTTTGTCCTTGTCAAGGGAGTTGACGCCTTTTTCGTCCGAGCTACTGTCGCAGCCAAAAGTATCCCCCAGTGGCAGAGCTTCAATTGATGATGTGCCGGCGGCCGTTGCGGATCGGGCGTCGTTTGAAAAGTCCGCATCTCTTCCCATGTGGGTATCTTTGGCTGGTAATGCGAAGTTTGGCGAGGATGGGGACAGCACAGCAGGTAAAACTCAAAAGTCACCCTCATTCGCTCAGAGCAAGGTGGCGTTTAATGGAAATGGTGTCAGCGGTACAAAAATACAGGAGGAAACAGAGGACATGGATGAGCCACTGCGGCCTTGTCCACACTGTGGTCGACATTTTTTTGCAGAGACACGCTGGCCACGTCACGTGGCGGTGTGTGAGCAACAGCAGCAGCAACAACGCCAACGAAAAAGCCAGGCTGAATCCTCACGGAGTGTACAGAAACCCTTTTCCAAGCGTGTGTCTCGTTCAAGCAACATGGAAAGCATGAACTTTAGCGGTAGTTTTCAAGAGGCCTTGAAAACCCCTTCATCGAATAGAGGAAAAGCGGGGGACGCTGCAACCAGTGCTGTGGAGAAAAAGTCTTCCAAGTGGCGACAGCAGCGAGCACAGCTCCGACAAGCGCTGCAGTTAGGTAGTGCACGCTCGCAAAACAATTCTTTAAGAAGTGGTGGAGATATCGATGTGTTTGAAGACGATCGTGTGGCCTGTCCTGCATGTGGTCGTCGTTTTGCCCCAGCAACGGCTGAGCGACACATACCGTTTTGCCAGGAGCGTCGCAGCGGACCCAAAACGATGCGTATCTAAAGGACGAAAAAGAACCACAGGGATAACGCCTAAAAAAGTAAACAAGAGAGATGAAAGGGAAAAATAAGAAAGGGACATTGAAACATAACTTAAATGCGGAAAAGCGGAAAGTGCTAGTGAAGTCGTTGTTGTTGTTTTCCGAAATATTATTTGAGGGGTTGGATGCGGTGCAAAAATTGAAGATACGCGTCAATACACATCTACAACACATATGGAATCTGCGTGCTGTAGGCCCCATGAGTACTGCGACGAGATATTTATCTCTGGAGTAAGTGACTGCACATTTTGGCAAGGAGTCCAAGGCCGAAGATAAAAAAGGAAAATAATTTCTGAGGGACTTGTGCCAGTAAGAGAGAGGAAAGGGAAAAGAAATAAATATTTACGGGGGACATTCCTTCACAGGATTGGGCGGAGATGCAAAAAGGAAATCTGTGCATTTGCGTTCCCCCCTGCGATGTGGCGTTCAAAATATTATTAGATTAGAATGAAGGGGGCCGGAATGACTGGTCTGTTTTTCCTTCATTTCTTACTTTGTATTATTATTATTATATATATTTTGTTATCTGTGCCTGTGTTTTTTTTTACGGGTTTGACACCTTGATGGAGTGTAGTCCCGTGTTTGGTTGTGGAATGAGTGGGTTTATTTATTTATTTTTTTCTTCTTTGGTTGTTTCTCATGCAACTTGCGCAGCACCTTATTTTCTCTGAAAGAGCATTGACAAGATGCTATTGGATGATCATGTCGTGGAAGAGCGTCTTAGTGTGTGGCAAAAGAAGAAGGTGCGCACGTATGTGGTGAACGGGCGCTCCAAGGTATCCTCCCGGCGCTCTATAGCAGGTGCCCTTGCCATTGCGAGACCGTATGAACGCATTGAACTGGTGGGCGGGGAGTACTTTGAAACCATCTCCATCAACATACCTCTGGAGATTGTTGCTGCAGAGGGTGAGGACCCACGCATTTTTTCACGTGGCCCATGTTTGACAATTACGCAGGACGTGGAGGTGTACTTTGAGCATGTGGAGTTTGTCTCAAAGGGCAAAAGCAAATTGGACTCGGCGGTTGCCCTTATGAATGGCAAATCCGTTTTTTTTCGGTGCAAGATGAATTCCATTCTCATTGGCGGTGTTGCCAGGCCTGTTTTGGACCAGTGTACCATCACGGAAAGCTACAATGGCTATGGGATCCAAATAGGAGGCGCAGGTGGGGCAGAAATACACCACTGCACCATCCACACGCATAGTGCAGCCTGCGTGGAAATAGATACAAAAGGCGTGGTTCTTCTGAAGAGCTGCACCATCCGTCAGCCCTCCAATGGAGGTCACGCAGTAAAGGTGCATGCGACGCAAAGTGGTTTTGATGATAACATCCCAGTGGAAAACCTTGCCTGCAAGAAAGTCTCCATCAGCAAATGTCGTATCTATGTCACGTCGGAAATTTTTAGACCGAAGGAGCGCGAGTGGACGGTAACTGAAAAACTTTTTGGGCTACCGAGCTGTGTATTTGTCTCGCGAGGCGCGTGCCCGGTATTTACTTACAATGAAATTCTTGAGGGATTTATTGGAGTAACGTTTGAGTCTGCAGGCGCCACGGTACTAGAAGGAAATTCTATATACAATCAAAAGAGTTGTGGCATCCTTGTTCTCGTGGACGAAAAAAGTCCTTACCCGGATGCAAAACAAAATCTTCGTATATCAGGTGGCAATGTGATCGATCGGTGCCTAATAGGGATAGACGTACATTGTCTGAGTAAGGTGAAGGCGTTTTCTGGTCCCGCTCAGGAAATACTTCTTTCACAAGAACTTCCATCTTCAGGAAAAGCATTTGATTGGATTGAAAAGGTGCATCATTTGGAAAAATCGAACTCTTTTTCACAGAGTGAGAAGAAAATGGATTGTACCCTTTATTTCAATGGGCGCAAGATGAAGTTATCCGAGTTGAAAGATGATCTGCGTACACTTGCCAAATTGGTATGTGCGGGACATCCTTCCCATTTTGGCAGTGGTGATGCCTCAGATGAGCGTCATGGGAATAATGGAGGCAATCCATTGAAGGGCATCCTGCAAGAAGCATTCAAAATATCACTTCCTTTGCCAAACGCCGCGGGTTGTGCGGCACAGTTGTTGAAGCTTCGTGGAACCAGAGGTGTGGATATAGTGGATACTCGATTTTCTGGATGTGAGCTGTGTGCCATTCGTTTTGGACCGGATGGATATGGACTTGTTGAAGACTGCGATTTTATCAATTCTGGAGCAACTGCCATTGTGGTGAGCGGTGGGGCCCATCCATTGATTGTGGGGTGTAAATTTGAAAGTTCCAAGGGGGCAAGCATATTTGTGGATAACTTTTCTAATCCTCTCATTATGGGCAACGAAATCTCGCATAATGCAGAAAACGGAATTGAATTTTGTAACTTGTCTCGTGGAATTGTGATGGGAAATATTATATTTGGGAACACCTTGAGTGGGATCCTTGTGACAGGCGGAAGTACCACGACGATCGTCGGCAATTTTATTCAACACGGTCAAGGGGATGGTGCGACGGTAACTGGTGGAAGCAAACCGGTACTCATGATGAATAATTTTCTATCAAACTCGAAGTCTCAGTTGATGGTGTCGGAGTACTCGACGCCTTTTATTACACAAAACACGTTTACATACGGAGCCGGTTGTGGTATTCGCTTTGAATCCTGTTGTGGAGGAACCGTGCTGGACAACACCATCTCATATAACGACCGGGGGATTGTGGTGGAGCTGGACGGGGATCCTTATGTAGAGTCGAACAAAATCTCAAACAGTAAACGCCATGGTGTAATGGTGGGAAACAATGGTCTTGGCACATTTGTGTCAAACGAGATTACACAGAGTGGAAGTTGTAATTTTGTTGTGCAAGAAGGTGGTTCACCGGTTGTTCGAAAGAATGTAATCACCGGGGGGCATACGGGCGGTATTGCCATCATCGCTGAGGGAAAGGGCGTCATCGAACACAATGTTATCAGTGACAATGCGATGGGGAATGTCATCCTCTTGGACCGCTTTACTGAGCCAGTGATTGCACACAACACCATCTCAAATTCCTCCACTGGCTGTGGAATTATTTGTGGTCGAGAGGCCGGTGGAGAGTTTTTCCACAACAATATTTTCAAGAACAAACAATGTGGCGCGTACGTTATTGGAAAGGCCAATCCACTGTTTTCGAGCAATGCCATCACATATGAATCGACTGGAGTTATTATATCAGATAGTGGACGAGGGATATTTAAACAAAACAATATTCACTCTAGCTACGGTTCTGGTATCATCATTCAGTTAGGTGGCAATCCATTCATTGAGGGGAACAGTGTCTCCAAGTGTTTTCTCAGCGGTATTTTGGTGTCAGCAGGGAGCAGTGGGACAGTTTCTGAAAACGAATTTTTTGAAAATGATGTAGGCGTGCAGCTGGGTTCCACCTTGGGCACTGCAACGCTTGAAATTGAGGCGAACCTCCTGAGTAGCGCGCCTGCGTCACCGACATCGAAAAGCAATGTAAAAATTGGAAAATTGAAACCACGACGTTCATTTGGTCTCAAGAAAGAAGGTGAAAATATAAAAGAACCGTCTCAGTTAACCCCAACGACTATAAGGCAGAACAGAATCTTCTCGAACACAACATGTGGAGTACTACTGGAGAATGCGGCCTACGGGATATTAGAAGAAAATGATATTGAATTGAATGAGAATTATGGTGTCATGGCGGATGTCGGCTACAGTGCGAAGCGAGTGAAGGACAAATTGGGCAAGGTCCTTGGATACGGCGGCTGGAAGTTGCCGAATGTGTCACTGGCTGGTGGATCTGCCATTATTCGCAAAAACCGCATCTTCAATCACAAAAAATGCAATATCTCTATTCTCAATCATGCGGAGAATAGTATTATCATCAATGCAAATGATGTGTTTGAGGCTCCAACAGGAATTTATGTGGGAAATGACGCCTCAATCCATTCCATAGAGGGTAATAAGATCTACAGGACATTTGATGGCGTCTACGCAGATAGTGGTGGCCGTGGGTGCTTTGAGAACAACAAGATTTACGACTGCGATGGCGTTGGGGTGTATGTATGCAATCGTGGGAATCCTCAATTTAAGAAGGGGAACGTCATTGAAAATTGTTCTGTTAGCGGTGTTTTTGTGGATGCCGGAGGAAGGGGACTATTTTCTCAGACAACTATACGTCACTGTGTTGTGGGTGTTGTGGTATACACATGTCTACCCGTTTCGTCGCTTGTTCAGGAGGAGGAATTTATGCAAAGTAGGTTTGTAACTTCGGCGCCCGTGTTTCAACAGTGTGATATTGAGGAGAATGCGCTGTATGGTGTCTTGGTTCTCACCGTTCCGACAAGTTTTCCACTACGTCATATCTCACACAGTGGCGTCGGACACGCCTCGAAGACCGAGGGACTTGTGAAGACACCAGGATTATCCGTCTTTCCACAGTTTCATCAAAATAGGATTCGGAACAATTGTCACTTTGGCGTTTGTCATGAAATGTATGATTCTTCGGATTTGCAGGATGAGACGGAAAATTTATCTCCCCATGAAGGAAATTCACCCGAGGCCAAACGTTCATCAACGCACTCTAATCTTCAAAATCATATTCAGCGGCGGCTGAGTACTTCAATGCAATGTCGTTTTGCAGCCCGTGGTTCCATGCAGGAGGCTTTAGGGACATCTAAAGTTTTTTCGACAGATGAACACCACAAGGAACGGATGCAGCATCAAGTAAGCTTTGTTGAAAACACCATTAGCAATTGTTCTATTGGTGTTGTGGTTGGTGGTAACTGTCATCCCTTTTTCCTTCGTAATCGAATAATTAACAATGCTTTCTTTGGAATGTTCTTACGGTCCCAGGCCAAGGCAATGTGTTTTGGCTGTGAAGTCATGGACAACGGCGTGGCAGGTCTTTACGTTTCACAAGGCTCTCTTGGTGCATTCACTGGGGGAACGATTCGTCGCAATAATGGATTTTGTCGCCCAGATGGAAATCCACATGATCCGCGCTCTTTTGGCACCCTTTCGTTTATGCAGTCAACTCTCGCAGTTTTGAGCGCTCCCAATAAAAGTAGTAGACCCCCACACGGTGCGTTTAGTTCCATTCTACGTGGGTTGGAGAGTTATGCAAATATAGCGGCTGAAGGTCTGCTTATATTGTGTGAACTTGTGGCTGCCTCCTCGGTGGGTCTCTCTCTCGCTTCTGGCATGTGTCCCAGTGTCTCGGGTGAGTCCGGTATTTCATATGGTTCTGGGCTGCAAATGGACAAGTACGATCGAGGATGGGCTGCCGATGGAGGTATGGGTGTGTGGCTTGTGCAGGGGAGCATGATGGAAATCAGCGATAGCTTGATTGACACCAATCGCAACGTTGGAGTTTTTTATTCGCGCAATTTACAACAACATTACATGAATCTGTCGCAGTTCCCTGTGAAGCCCGCTGGTGGGTTTCCGAGATTTCCAGGTGGCGAGGTGATCTCTGGCGAAACGAGGAGCCCGCGGAAAGGGGCAATGCGGTGGGTTTTCTTTACCGCCAACGCTATCCATGATGAAGGCTACCTCATGCAAATGAGTGCATCCGTTTTTGGCGAAGGAAGCTTCACAGAGAGTTGGCGTGTATTTACGCCGCCGCAAACTCCCCGTATGTCAAAGCAGACTGAAGCGCCCGTCTATGAGGGAGATCGTCCATATATGTTGAATCGTCCAGCGCTTGTTTCTGGCAATCGTATCGTCAAGAACGGTTATGGAGTTGTCATACATTTGCATCATGTTATGAAGGCAAATTTCTCCGGCGAGACGGATAATGCGGCAGAGGAGGCAACGGAGATACCCGAACCAAGCCATGGGAGAAGAGCCAACGCTGCTAAGAAACATGGCCGTCGGTCGAATAAGAAGGCCGCAGACAATGATTTGCCAAGAAATAGAGAAGCAAGAACTTTGCGTGTTTCAAGGCTGAAAAAACAAGATGAGGAAGAAAACAATTCTTCTCATGAACCAACGAGAGAGAAGCCCGTTCACCCAATGATGTCAATGAATGCATTCTCTAGAGAAGAAGATTTTTCAATTAATATAGAAGAAAATCATGTTTATGAAAACTGTGGTGTTGGAATACTTTGTTTACACATCGTTGAAGCTGTGTGTGGCACTCATGTGAAGTCACGTCTGGAATTAGATGGGGCAGCTGCAGAGTACAATGATGTATGCGTTAAAGTGACGCTCAAAAGAATGTTAAAACAACCAAAATTGAAATTTTTACTCGTACCTTATGAGCGTATGACACGCTATGCAAAATTTTCTAGTAATGAGGTGTATAAGAACGTTGCGGAACAACTTGAGGTGACTTCTCGGTATGTCGCTATCTCTCAAAATTGTGTCCGAACCCTACTGCAGATTGATACGTTGCGTCAACCAAGTGCGTCTATGTCCTCTTCGCAAGCGCTACTGAGGATTCCACTTTTTGCCTCTTTGCTGTCCGCCGCACCGCCTGGTAGGTTTGTGATTGAAAGCAATCGCTTTCGGGATAGTACAAAGGGAGTACATGTTTTTGGTTTTGTGGGTGGAAACTCTCTTCTTTTACGCAACAATGCCTTTGTCAACATGAGGGGAACAACTATTCTTATTCAAGGACACCTCGCCTCCGCAACTATTGGAGGTGGAAATGTGTTTGAAGCGAACGACGTTGCTATTCGTATTGTGTTGCCTGAAGATTCTCTCACAAAGGAAGATGTTGCATGGATGCAAGCCATGGGTGTTAACACACGTATCCATTCCAATCATTTCTGCGCCCCAAAAAAGTTGTCTGTGATTCTCGAAGGTGGTGGTGCACCATCTCCGGTCTTTGAAAGCAATAAATTCACTGTCCATATGAGTGGTTCGGTGGCGTTCTTTATTTCAGGTCCCAATGCTCGCACACAGCTGAAAAGGAATGTGTTTTTAGAGAATTATATTCCTGTCATTATCACAAATGAGGCAGGCACGAGCGAGGAAGGCACAAGTGTTATTCTGGAAGGAAATCGATTTGCCAGGAATTTTATTGGGCTTTTAGTCGCAGGTGGCGCGGCTCCAAAACTTTTACGCAACGTGTTTGAAGAGAACTATCGGACGGGTTTAGAAATTATAGATGAAAACACGAGGCCAACGGTTCAACATTGCTTCTTTGTGTCAAATAAATTTTCCGAGGTTCAACCATTCAATGAGGAGGTATTGCTGTTTCCTGAGCATGGCAAAATTCGCGTGGATGCAAGTTTAGAAGGCACAAGTTTTGATTTTGTGGCGACCATTGTACCAGATAACACTGCAGCGTCGGATGCGAGGATGAGGCTGCCGTCTGGACTTCTCATCAGTGGAAGAGGGGAAAGAAGTGTCATACACGAATGTCTATTTCAAGATAATGATATAGGTGTTGATGTTGTGCGTAGTGCTGCCCTTCCTGGGGCGATGAAGACGTCGTCTTGTGGCATTCAGTTGACCTCTTGTCTTTTCAGTCTGAATAAAGTGGCGGGGGTGTGGATACGTGGTGAAGAGGACCCAAATGGAAAACGCGCTCTTCCCTCCTTTAACATGAGTGGAAGTGAAATTGAACACGACGCGACTGTCTTTGACAGCTGTTTCTTTGTAAATAACACAACCGATGCTGAGGGGAAGGGTGACGTTGTCGCCCTGGACGGTGGGTTTGCGATAGTACGGGGAAGTTTATTTACAGGCTCGGTCCATGGCAAAAAGGACGGCATGGCACTTTTTGAGCGAAATTTATTCTATGCGGAGGCTGCGGATGCGGCTGTGTATCTACACAAGTCTGCACGCATACGACTTGTAGGAAACACAATTCGCGGTCACAAGAATGGCATCGTGACGTATCCCGCTGCATGGGGTCATGTGGAGAACAACTGGATCTTGGATACCACTCGAAGCGTTTCTGCCGCCCCATTTTGCCACACGTTTTTTGTCCGTAATCGCATAGTAAAGGCGAAAGACTGTGGTATTTTGGCATACGGTGGGGTCTTCACGGAAAATGAAGTCTGCTGTGCCCCGACAGGTGTCATTGTGCAGAATCCGGTGGAGTATAAAAATTATAGTGAAATACCAAAAACGGAAAAGACGGCGTTTGATGCATTGATTTCGGAAAATCGTGTACACTCGTGTGAAGTTGAGGGCATTTTGGTCGCTGGTGGTGCTCGTATTGAGGGGAATAGTGTATCCAACTGCAAGACGAACATGAATATTATTTGTCCCCAAAACGCAGGCGGTGGATCCGGAATTGCTGTTGTATCAAAAAATGCCCTGTACGATGGGGAGGTTGGTCTTCTGGTTGCGAAGGGGTCGGAGTCCGTCATTCGGGTGAATGACATCTTTGATAACAGTACATTGGGAGTGTGGGTGAAGGCAGGGGCTCAGGGAACGCTTCAGGGAAATGCCATTTCCAGCTCTTTGAGGGATAGTGCCTTTGATGCGGAGCCGGGGGCAGAGATAAAGATGCTGCAAAACAACATACGAAACCAATTCTCCCCGTCTTATCATAAAACGCTTCCTACACATCGTGAGAAGGAACGGCAAAAAGCAGCTGAAACCATGACTGAGGAAATACGTGAGTTGGATCGTACCTTTCAGAAGATGTTCTCACTGTGCAATAGCGTAGAAGTTGTCTTGCAAGCGACATTAGAGACGTTGAGGAGAGAATCCCCTAACATAGACGGTGTGAGGCCTTTGAGTACCACGACGAATTTCGTTCGAGCTTCGAGGTTTTTGCGCGGTTACACTCAGACACAGAACATTGTTGAGGTTCTGAGTCTAGCCAATACAAAGGAAGCCAGGTATTCTGCCAAAGAGCGGAAGTTGTCCTTGTCTGCGGCAAAGGCATCAAGGTCTGTGGATCGACGAATAAGCCAATCCACTTCACTGGTGCCAAATGAACAGTATCGGCATGTTCTTATCCACGTATGCGATACGGACAAGGAGACCGTGGAAAGCACACAAATTGGCAAGGAGGTGGAGGCCGTTTTCACTTCGGAGTCTCTGTCTTCACGTGTCATGTTTCGCGCCGCACTCACAACTAATCCCAGTAGTTTTCATGCATCCATTACAGCTCAAATGCCCGATGTAATAATTGTTGTTGTGGGTGCGAGCAAGAAGGCATTTGATACGGAGGAGTTGGCCGTATTTTCAGCCATTGACCGCTTACGCCGTGCGCCCGCTGGAAGACGGCAAAGGAAAAAAAACAGCGTCTTATTAGTCTCTACAATTCTTTCAATGGAGTGGAAAGAGAATATTGAGGGAAATACATCTTCAAGTAAAAGTGTAGAAAAATTGTCAGGACTGGAATTTTTTGCCGCCGCGAACAACCCCATTTATTTTAAATTTTCTGTTGCTGAGGCATTCACAGAACTGATACAGCGCCTGAAATCACATGTCTTCTCCCCATCGACTTCCACGCATGATGTGGACGCCAGTGCATCAAGGAATGAAGGCACGGTTGTCAAGCCCGCAAGAGGGGAGCAGTTCCTGTCATCCTCACTCAGCCAATTCGGGTCGATCTCTTTTTCGTCACCGAAACTTCCTTCTACGCGAACCCCCCTTCGTGCCTCATTGAACGTCCGTGCGGAGAAATGACATTTACTCCAGTGGCGAGAAGAGGAAGAAGAAGAAAAAATAAACTTGCATACATATCTATATACGTGCCTATATAAATATATCTATCATATATTTATTGTATTGTTTTTGAGGAGAAGAACGATCTCTGGTTTTTGGTCAGCCCGAGTGGTGCAATTCCGGCACGCATATTTTTGTACCATTTTTGAAGCCTCTTCTTTGGAGAGAATTAAAACGGGATTTCCAACGCATGGTAGAGTCGGATCTTTTTCTTTTTTTGCTTTTAGTTCACTTATCCTCTACTTCTTTATTTTGCAGTTCAACTTTCTTTTTTATCCATCGTTTTTTTTTGTTTTTGTTTTTGTTGTTGTTGTTTTTGTTTTCTTCTCTTTTCCCTTCTTTGTTATATATATGCATATGCATACCTTTTATGGGCTGTTTCTTGTCTCTAAAGACAGGGTATGCGTATCGCATCCCATCTATATATATATATATAAGGCCTTGCTGCAGCTGCTTTTTTTTTCTCCAGAATTTCTGTTACATTTCTTTTGGACCTTCCGAATTCGTTGTCATTTTTGTCTGTTTTTTATTTATTTATTATTTTATTTTATTTATTTATTTATTTTTTTTTTTTTTTGTGTGTGTTTTTTTTTGTTGCTTTTTTTCCCATCTTTTTTTCATAGGAGCTTGTGAAGAGGATGATTGCGAGGAGAGCCGGCTAACTTCATTAATGTATGTTTATATCCTGATGAATGAATGCTTTTCTTTACGATACTTTTCAACCGTATGAATAAATTGGGAAGAACACGACTTTATTGGGGGCAGGGAACCGATAGCGGCCAGAGAATTTTTAAATTTTGTCATCCCACCCACCCCCTTTTTGATTCCCACCACGCGGCGTGGTCTTGTGGCTGGAGGATCCCAAAGTCCGCCACTTTCTAAGTAATTATATTCTGAGGACAAAAGATCATGCGAGTGGTCAATAGAATTTATATATTGAATGAAAGGAAAACATGGAGGCAATGAACTAACTCTGCGAAAATCCCTTCTTCCCCTACCTTGTTTGGTTTCTTTAGATTATTTCAGGATCCGGCCAGTGGCGCAGAATATTATTCCCACCTTCTTTTTTCCCCCTTTTTTTTCTGCTTTTGCCTGTATGTTATGATGTGTTTTTATTTGCTGGTTGGTCAAGTTTGGTCAGTCAGTGGGATGTAAAAAGAATAAGTGGCTGTAAATCGAGGGTAATGTAAATAGGAAGTTGCATTTTACGTACCGGATTGTTTTTTTTATTCTAAGCGCGCTAGCCGTCTTCTTTTAATGTGACAGTGTGTGTGTGTGTGTGTTTTTCTCTCCCTTTGTTGGTTTTCAATTGTCCATTTGCACTTGTGCATACACTTCTTTCACCTACGGATTTTAACTGCAATATTTGTATAATAATAACATGTATTATTATTATTATTGTTACTTTTGGCTTTTTGGCTTTTCTTTTTCTTTTTGATTTTGGATTTCGCACGCCATCCGCCTTTGTTTCTGTTGCTATGTGAACAACACCCAGAAGAGTGGTATCACGTCGCAAGAGAAGGGTCAGGCATTGGCTGGCGATGGTGGTATGATGGCGCTGGATGACATGGTTGCTCCGTTTAGGGAGGAATTCACCGACCGTAACTGCAGGGATGAGAGAAATCGACACCGTTTTTTCTTTTTGAATGGTATTCTCTGCCGTACGGAGAACTCGGACGGTTCGTTTCGCCCCGCCGATGTTTTTGTCGGGCGTGACCCTCCTCCACGAGGAACGGCGATGCTCGGCGAGGCATCGCGAATATTTGACGATTTGGCTGTTGCCCCTTCTTTTGGTGACGTGGATAGAGATTGTTCCATTTTTAATACCTTTGGAGTTTTTTCAGGTGGTGTTCTTATTGATCCCAACACTCGGTGCTTCGTAGACTTTGTGGACGACATTGTGGTGACACCAACTCTTTTTAAAGAGGAGGCCAATGGTAACGTACCCCACTACAAGTCTCTTGAGTATGCCAAAATTCGAGGAGAAGGTGTCATGTGTTTGTGCTCCTCGATTGAGCCACTGAACGTGGCGGGGAAAAGGGACACACCTCTCTCCTGGCCACGTTCGATGCGACTTACGGGATCAACTGAGGCACGTTTTTTGGCCTTGCGCAATGTCGACCGCATTCTGCGACGATGCCTCACGGAGGTCTCGGCAGATCGAAAAATGTTCAGACTTGTAGAGCGCTATCGCTGCCACATTAAGAGTAAACGTCCTCCGCAGAGTTTTATGACACAAAATATTCCATTTATCTTCCAATATGGTGGCAGGCCATTTCTTCTTCAGGGTGACAGTGACGAGAAGGAGGAAAACTGCTCTTTTCCCACTCCAGGACCCCTCTTCTCGGAGTTCCACACGTTTACAGGCCTTCCCAAAATGGTGCGCATGAAAACTGGAGAAGTTGGCACGTTTAATCATGGAGTTGAGTTTGGCTTACGTTTAGAAAAGCGACTGCAGTCAATGTTGAAGCCGCTTCGCAAAAACCTCTTCATTGGAAGGCGAGTATTGCGTGATAAGACAATGACAAGGATGAGAAAGTATTGGTACACTTTTTGGCGTTACTTTAAAATTTTCCGTGTGTACCCCGGCCCCTCGCCCAATGCAGACGGTCGCAGCGAGTGGCACCTTGCCGATGATCGACACGTCAATTACGAGAAGGCCGTGTTGGAGTTTGAGGAGGCGAGAAGAAAGTATGGAAATCCAGAGTGGGACCGCACCGCCGTTGTTGACGCCTGGGACTGGCTGATCGTGCACGAACGCCATTCTTTCCTTCGACGTCTTGCAAAGGTGGGAAGATGCTTGGATAAAATTCAGCTGTAATTTTTTTTTTTTGTGTGTGTGTTTGTGTGGAGAAACGCGTTTCCTAACACAATTATGCAGTTGAAGAAAAAAAAAAAAAAAAAATGGAGCGAGAAGAAAGAGGATAAAACATAAATCATAAAAGCGAATGATGGTAATAAGCGAATAAGTAGTCCCGTTCTTTTTTTTTTTTTTTTTTTAATTTTTTTTTTTTTATCTTACTTTTGTTCTTGCTTTTCTTACTATTTATGCCGACGCATGTATAGTGACACGGAAATAAAGGCAATAAAGAGAGAAAGATCAGAAAAAAAAAAAAAAAAAAGGTGTGATGCATACACTTGCGACGGTTTTCTTTGCATTTTCTGCGAGTCCAGCGTTATGGTTTGTTTCTTCTATGGTGTTGATGGTAATAATACCAATCAGGTTGAACGTATGAGGCTTCTGCCGTGAGTTGTTTTGCATTCTGGTCCCTGTAGACTTTCTCTTGTCAATACCCATCATCACACTATCCCCAAGAAGAGCAGGAAGAGGCATAGCATTTACAGTGGTACAACTTTGGAAAAATAGAAGAAGACGTTGATTGTGGAGTGTGTATGCATGTGTAATGTTGCGGCGGTGTTGGATTTTTCATTGCCCTATCCAGTACACCACTCTCTCTTCTACCGCCGGAAAGCTTAACGAAATATTGGATTTGCGAGTGCAAAAGGCGCCTGTGCATAGTGAAGTTCTCAAACAGTTTATTCGAACAGAGGTCATGCCTCTTCTTGCCGGAACTTCTGTAGACAGGCGTCACGACAGCTCCGAACTGCGTCGGTTTATGGGTCAGCTGCTTCGTGACTCTGCCTTTGCAGCTGTTGTGTTACGTGCTCGCCCTGGTGGAGCCTACGTCAATACCATTGTGGACTGTATTAAGCACGACCACGAACGCATGCAGTTTATTAACAAAATGACATCCAATCAAGCTAGTCGTATCATTGAACACTTATGTCGCGTTGGTGTTAATGATTCAGCCGTGTATGCCCCATTGGCTGCTCGTTTAGACTTTTGTGTACTCAAAGAGGTGGGACGGGCAATGTTTGCGTTGGCAGAAGAGAGAATGCATCAGGAAGTGGTATCATTCATCGTGCCCCTATATTGTGGAGAGACATGGGAACTTACCTTTGATGGAGGTGTGGGATACACAAATCAATGGAACAAAAATTGCAACGTCTTTGACGCCGTGCGTGTATTACGTGTGTTATCTAAATCCGTTCGAGGCGTGGTAGAGCAGCAGCGTTTTGACGCGGCAAAGGGTACAATTTACCCTCTCCCAGTAGAGAGCATTCATCAGTTAAGAACCAATCTGACGGTGTTTATTATTCAGAACAGTGAAATCCTCCGTGGGGGGCATTGGATCAACTTCACTCGCGCCATGGTGCACTTCCCCACGGAGTTTAAGACAATGAAGTATCTAGAACGACATCCTTCAGTGCTGCAGGCTGTAGATTCGCAGAATCTCCCCCGTCGGGCATCGCGACTGGGGTTGTCGGAGACCGTAGATACAGATGACATGGCAGCACTAGGATTACATTACGTCTTTGCACCTGTTGAACAACAAGAAAAGGTAAAGAAAAAAAAACTGCAGCAGCCCGCCGCAGATGGCAGTGAAAAGGAAAACGAGGGTCGCTTTGACGTCCCATCCATTGATCTCACGAAGCTCCTTCCCATCATAGAAGATGTACCTCTTCCGAAGTCCGTTCAGCAACGCCGTCTTCAACTTGTCATGCAGGCAATTATGAATGACATGGATACGCTTCATTTTACCGATCTTGTGCGGTTTATTCAGGCCCTTCGTCGAATGGAAGGTTCTTCCGAGTTTTCGTCGTCGTTGAATGCTGCAATTTCGGCCGTCAGTCGAATTCTCGACAATGGCTCAAAAAACACCACTGTATACATTCCGTATGATCGTCTTGTGAATTTGGCAAACCTTCTCACCGCTTTTCGTTTGAAGAACTGTAAGGGTTTTGTGAATTACCTTTTTTGCTTTCTCCCCACGGTGCACTCCATGACTGTGGATGAGGCCACTTCGTTAATGAACGCTTTGGCTGCTGTTGCTGAATTGGATGGAGTGGAACGTTGTGTTCGTGTTGGAGAGCAAATTTTGGATAAGGTGGGGCACAATTTTGATGGTGCCACTCTCGCTTTGGTTTTATCTCATCCTCTACAGTGTGCAAAGCTTTTACGTGCTACCGTGCTTTTAGGTGCGACACCATCATCTGGTGCCATAAAGCGCATATTTGGTGACACGAAGGAAGAGTTGAAAGTGTCGTCAAAACTTCGGGAGGCTGGCGCTTCGGTACTTTTTGATGTGGCCCGTTCACTCTATCACTTTTCACGCTTGAAAACAACAGAGACAAGTTGGGCGGAAACCGTGTGGTCAAAAGGCATAGTGGGTGCTTTGATGCCGCTCTTAACGCAGCTAACATCTGAATTTCATCAGGAAGTTCTCTCCTCTATGGAAAACGGCCGAAGTTCCACCTCATACATTCCTCTCGCGTGGCGCAGCTCAATGGAGGCAGTTTTTCCGTGGGTGGATGTGAATCTGGACACAGTTTCTTTGACGACGATGCAGCAACGCATTGAAGAGGTCTATCCGTTTTTACGCCGAATTGCGATGATGGCTGTATGTATTGCAGAGGCGCAACGAAAGTCTCTTGCGAAAAAAAATCCTGTGGCTGAGCCGCTTGCTTTCTCATCCAATGCAGTTGTTCACATGTTGTTCTTTCTGTTAATGTTTGAGCATATATTGTATCACGGTACATGGCAAACGGAGATAGACAGCAGTGCGGCGTCCGCGAATGGTGTAAAAGAAAAGATGCAGAAAATGAAGGAGGACTATATCACAATTCTCTCGACTACGGTGTGCAAGGATGAGGAAGGAAACGGAGTGACAGCCCTTTCGCTAATTGACCACTTATTTTCGCCTGAGAGCGGGCGCGACCAGTCGCACTCCGTGCTAGACCGCAGCAGTATTCTTGAGATCACCACAAATCTTCCATTTTCCGTCTCACTTGTGGTGAGTCAAGGGCCCATTAATGACTTGTTCTGTGAGCGGGCTGTGGCGGCCGTAATTAGCGTTAATGATTGAAAAGGACACGTGGCTTTCAAAAAGGAAGGGGGAAGAGGAGTTAAAACGGAATTTTAAAAAGAGGGTTTGAGGGAAATGAGGAAGGGCGGTGGGTGCAGCGTGAAGATGAAGAAGAAGGTCATGTCTTTGAGACTTTTTCTCAATTTCATGTGGAGTGGCGGAGAAGCGAAAGAGTTTTCGACTTTGTCTGGCAGATGAGGTTTATTGCAGCTAGAATGGAAGAAACCCCTCACAAAAAAAAAAAAAAAAACAATAAAACAAAAACAAAAAAAGGATGGGAAGGGTGATATACCATACGGTGTGGGTCCATTCAATGTATTTTAACTTCAAATTCTCTGGGGCTGCAGCTGGCTAATGCATTTTTTGACTTGCTGCTGCTCTCCTGTTGGCCTGTATTCCCAAACACCGCTAATACATAGAAGGGTAGCATTTTTATTTCATCCCCCCCGCGTTGTGTATGTGGCCGGACCAGTGTTTTTTTCTCCTGGTTTTGTCCCTTGTCTGATTGCTTTGTGTCGCACAAGGTGGAAGTTTGATGTCGTATTGGGCGACGTCCGAAGGCCGGGCATTGAGTGCTGGTCATACAAGCCGTCTATCGTGGTGTATGCGGTCAGGTGCAATGGCGATTTCGCGCTCAGCCATGACGCAAACGGAGTTATTGCGCGACCGAATTGTCGATGTTGGCGAAGGGGTAGTGGCAAACTTCTTTGAGCAACTCTTGGCGCGGCTGGAACAGCATGGAATTCGACGATGCCTTCATGACGATAAGGAAACTTATGAGGACGGAACGAATAATGGTGACAAGAATCTTCATCATAGCATTTCCCTTTCGGATGAATGCTCCATGGCTTCGTCCTTACGGCCGTCCGTCAAACAACGAATGGAGGACGCACGGGAACCGTACTACTACGTGTGTGTT